CTTGGCGTTGTGTGCCAGGAGCTGGGCCTGCCCGTCCCTCCCGACAGGTCTGCTCAGTGTCCGGCTTCGTCTGCGCTATTGACAGGAGAATTAAGCTCCGCTTGCCGTTTGGTACTTGGCGCGGTGTGAGGAATTCTCTACTGGGGGAGTTGCAAGTGGACTGGGATGTACGCCTCCTGTCTCCGTTTGGTTATTGAAAACTAGCAAGGGTGTGCCAGGAGCTGGGCCTGCCCGTCCCTCCCGACAGGTCTGCTCAGTGTCCGGCTTCGTCTGCGCTATTGACAGGAGAATTAAGCTCCGCTTGCCGTTTGGTACTTGGCGCGGTGTGAGGAATTCTCTACTGGGGGAGTTGCAAGTGGACTGGGATGTACGCCTCCTGTCTCCGTTTGGTTATTGAAAACTAGCAAGGCATTGAAAAGAGCTGTGTAATGATGGCTGGGGAAATGAGATTAGTCTCTTTCTAGAAGGAACAGCCTTGATAGAGCGGTGCCAACGCTTCTTTCAGTGCTTCGGTTGGGACCAAAGCAATCAAAGAGCTCAGTATCTGTTCATGTGTGTCGGCGAGGTAGGCTGAAACGCTCTGAGGGTAACAAGAACTGGCAGCGTAACCTATTTCTGCGTGAACTATAAAATCCTGTATGTAAAATGGAATTGGTGGAAGTAATTGATCCAGATTTTCTTTTCCTTCTGCCTTTGGGTTAAAGTCAAGCTGCTTAAGAGAGCTTTCTGGTGTGCCCACCCTTGTCTTTGCTGTTCTGTTAAACATAAGCTGTTAGCATTGAAGCAGAGAGAATTTTGATCAAACAGAGTCTGTGTTTAAGCTGCCCCTTTTCTTCGAGTCTTCCAAAACTGTTGTTGACCCCATCGCCTGTCAGCAGCCTCTGTTGCAGGTATTAAGTTCAGCTAGGATGGCAGCCAAGCAGTTGCCACTGCAACTAATGTCGTCAGAGAACAGTGTTTATCTGCAGCTGACTGAAGCCTGATTTTGAACACACCGTACACAATAATCTCAATTATTTGTTCGGTTTATGCTCCTCCCACTCCAGGGAGTTCTGCTGAGTAACATTGCTGAGAATAAACCTGTTTCAGCTGAAAAGTTAGTTAAACCTCTCTGTGCTTGCTAGGTTGACACTTGGGCTCTTTCGCTCACCGTATCTCTTGTGTTTCTAGTTAATCTTAAAAAGTATTTTAATTGACTAGTAATCTCTGCCCTTGAAGTGTTAATGCTGGTCTGTAAGAGTGTGGCTTGGGCTGTGCGATGTGAAGCAGGATGGCTTTCAGGTTCTCGGTCTTGCAGTCAGGTGAAGGATTTGCATACCCCTTGCCTTAGTTCTGCTTGATTCACCTCCAGCTTAAAACCGTGATTCACGTGAGTTGCATTTCCTTGCTGGGCTCGTAAAAAGGCCTATGGATGTATTTAATACACACAAACAGATGGACTAATGGAGAGCTGAGTGATGTTATTGCTAAGTGACCGGAGAGGTACTGTGTCCTGTGCCTTAGCATACCAGCAGTGAGTCGGGCTGACGGGGCCTGATCCCTTCCTCTCCTGTGAGCAGCACCTCTCCCTAGGTAGGTGTCTGTTAAAGCTGTGATGCAACACTAAATCTTCTCTCCGACAGGTGTTTCTAAGATGGAGATGGCCTTGAAAGCCCCGGCCCACTGAAAAGAACTAGAGAGGTTACAAGTGGGTTCACTGAATCTGAAAGTAGGCAGGGTATAAGTAGATGCAACTGCCTCTAAAAGCAACTGTGCCTGTTTACTTTGGCTCAGACATGTACTTTAGCCTGGTTTATAATATCTGTGCTATTAATACTTACGTCTGAGGAGAGATGAACTTTATTCTGAAAACTGGCACAGAGAGCAGTGAAATGTCTAGGTGCACGAGAACCTACCGACAGCTTCCGCAACAATGGGTGCGGCATAATCAAAATAGAAAACTGTAATTTGGTAATACTAGAACACATGGCGTAAGCTGATGCTGCCAGGCTTCGGCTAGTCTTAGGTCTCAAGTAATTGTTGACAACTTCCTCTTCTGGGATCTCGCAGAAATAGCACAGGATATTAAGTCATTAACTTGGGTGGTGTAATTTGATGCTGTAAATTTATGAGATTAAACGTCTGCTTTAGTGGGCAGAAAATGAGGTGTGCGTGGGGAGGAAGCTCTCCCCTCTAACACTTTCTAGGAGTCCCAGGCAGTGTGCGTGCAGTACTTGTCACCTTGGGGTAAAGAGCAAAGTATCATCTGTCAAAGGAGAGGTTTTACTTGTGACAGTGGTGTCCCATTTCAAAACTGCTTTGCCTAAATTTGCTTTTGTGGCTTTTATTAACATGCAATCCCTCTCTTCAGGGGTGGAGAAATAAGGTAATAACAGCATTAAGTGTGGATGTTTGAACAGACTTTTTGTAATCTCTTGCAGAGCAAAGAGTGGAAGATGTACGACTGATTCGAGATCAGCATCCAACTAAAATACCAGTAAGTCTGGTTCTTTTCACTTCAATTTCCAGTCTCATGTTCTTTTTACTAGTTAGAAACCTGCAAAAGAGCTGTCCCGATGAGACCAAATTAAAATTTGGCTGTTCAGGGTCATTAAGCCTGGATTTCAGAAACATTCTCAAATGAGTAACTGGCAGTCAGTGTGGTAAAAGCAAGGTACTAGCTGGGGGCTGGAGAAAATGGGGTTTCCTGTGTGCTGTGTTGTAACTTCAAGCTGAGCTCCTCCTGACTGTTCAGCTCTTCTCATCTCAGTGTTTTTCTTCTCCAAATGAAGAGTCTGCAGAGGCTAACCAAGAAGAACACACAGTAATGTAGAGACAGTCATGGCTTTCCTCACCAATCTGTGCCGAGAAAGACAAAAACACTTGCCTTCCGGGAAGTGGGCCTTTGCTTGAGGTCTCCAGAAATGCTGCTTGGCTGTCAAACCCCTCCACCTAGTGTTGGGCCACCTCAAACTGGGGATCAGCCCTCACCTTGTCACTCTTCTTTAGCTGGTCAGCTGCAAATGCTGCCTGAATTTTTATTTTCTTTTATTTATGGCATCCTCAAGGTTACAAATGCCAAGCAAAGCATCCTAGGAAGCAAAAGGCATGGATGGTGATCTATTGCTGATGAGTTCTTCACAACTGGAGGGCTTCTGTGTGATGGCTGTCACCGTAGTAAGCAATAAATGCAACCGTTGTTATGGCCATCGAGTGGAACAAGGAAAGTCTCAGGAGATCTTGGGGGGCAGAATTAAACCGGACACCTTGGCCTTTGGTTCTCAGTGATGAGAGCTGATGATCCCTGAGAGTGAGAATTCTCCTGTGAACAAACTTCCTGCAAACTGTCTGCAGGTACAGTGCAAGTTCGTTAACAGAAGCAGTTGCTCCCTCCATGTCAAATAGAAACCGAAAGGTTTCCAGATTTCCTTTAGCTTTAAACTACTTCATCTCGAAGCTGCTGCTGCTGGTTTACTATGCTGGTGGGCATGGGAACAAGTAATGTTTTATAGCAGAGATTTTCTGACTTGCCTGGAATGTGCAGTTTTCCCCAAAGGCCCTTTCCTAACAAATCTGTTTCCTGACAGAAGATCGCTTTTTCACCCACCTTTCACAGATCACTTAGCTGTAGTCCCCAAGCTCTGTGACCAGAGATTGAAAGCCATTGATTTATAGCAAAGCTCTCATTTTTAGTCAGCCATGGACGTATTGCTAGCAGAAATTCAGAGGTACGACAGCAACTTGCTGAAGGTGCAGTGATGCAAACTCACAGCTATGGCAGAGGCCTGCTGGGATCCCTGGAGGCTTGCTGTGGTTGCCTGTCCATGTCCCAGCTTGAGTCACTGCCTCATTATTATCATTAGCAGTTCTGGATGAGATGAGATGGCAATGTCACGCTAGATGGTAAATCCCTCCTGTGCTGTCAACATCCTTCATTTTGGTGTTGGAAATACCATCTATCGGTTATGGTGTACCTTCTTAAAAATAGTGTTGGGTTTTTTTTCCAGAATGAGACAGCATTTATTTAAACTGGTGTAAGGAAGTCTTTCTCTGGTATAACTAAATTGGCTCAGTATCTCTTCACCTGTGCAACTTTTGAATATGAACACAGCCACACCCCTTGAGCATGGAAACGATCCAAGCGAATGGTGTCACGTAGCTACCATTGATTTAAAAAAACCCCAAAACCCACGTGGCTGTGGAAACGGGAGCACACGAATTTTGAGATCATTTCTTAAAAGCAGGAACTATATACAGTTGCTGGGCAGGGTGCTACTTAAATTGGCAAATCTGCAATTTCCTACTGAATTAAGTGGTTACTACATAACAATCTTGACAGAATTACTGGTTCCTAAGCATGCTGTCTTGAGATTAAGGAGGAGGAAATTCTCTCCTTCGAGGCTTTCCACCCTTCAAAAGTAGCTTTCGCTCATGCATGAGAGTAACTGTGGAAGGTGAATGGAATAGCATACTAATCTGGAGGTGGAGTTCTTGGAAAGAGATGGCCTGAAACCGGAGAAATTGTAGTGAAAACTGCTTGAGTTTGCAGACTTCCGTAGCAGCCTGAGCCCCTGGTGGGCCGCTGTAATGTGGTAGCGGGAAGAGTGCTTTATCTTTTCTTGGGTTTCCTTGTTGCTGGGTAGTTCGGTGCTAAATTAAATGATTCCAGCAGATGAACTCCTCTAAAACCACACTGAAGCTGTGGATATTTGCTGTTAAATCCCTGCTTGTTACCCCTCCCTGCAGTGACTCTCCCAAACAGAACAAACCAAAGATGATAATCGTAATTGTTCCTTTTCAGATTTGAGATACTGCATTTACAAATGAAGGGGAATGGAATTCAGCATAAATGCTTGTACTTTGCTGTGTTTAAGATGGATGAGGGGGGGATGAGGGCATCGTTTCTGTCTTTCACATCTTCTGCTCCTTTTTTTCCTTTTGTGTCTTCTTAGGTGATCATTGAAAGGTACAAGGGAGAGAAGCAGCTTCCAGTTCTGGATAAGACCAAGTTCCTGGTGCCAGATCATGTCAACATGAGCGAGCTAATCAAAATTATCAGGTAGTATGCTGTGATTTCAGTGTAAGCTGCATCAGCCTGAGACTATGATTCTTTGTTATTCCCCACCTGGTGTATGCATTTGGGAACTCTTTAAATGGAAAATTCATCTAACAAGCATTTAGTATCATCACTGGGACAAATTCATGAGAAGGTGCTTTTTCCTTTGGCTTTGCTGAAAAAAAACCCAACAAACCTCTGAAAAGAGCTGAGTTATTAGTCTGCTTTCAAGAGAAATAACTGGTTCCCGGAGATGTAGGAGGGAGTCTGGGGCCATGAATCCCTGTCTAACATGGGTGCTTCTGGCCCAGGGCCCCAGTGCTTCCTTCTTGGCTATTTTAGGGTGCCTTCTTGGTGTTCTGCCTGGGAGTCCCTCTCCAGAGTGCCTGCCTCTTCCCACCCACTGGAGGGGAGTTTGGGCTCATAGCCAGAGCTCTGAGCTGTTGCTTAGGGTTGATGTTGGTATCCTTTGATCGTGAAATGAGGTTTCCCTCAATGATAGTGTCAAGGCCTGAAAAAAAATATGCGTTCAGACCAGTGTCTTTTTCTCCCAGCTGTTTGCACAGACTGTGGCTTGAGTAGCGTTCTGCTCTGGTGCTTGAGCTTTGCTGACAAGAAAAGGCAAAGGGGAAATAGCCATGGAGTGGAAGTTGTGTGGTCTAAAATTGTGGTCAGAAATTCTGCTGCAAGTGCATTTCTCCTGGCTTAATGTCAAGAAGGAATATTTGATTAGTGAGAGTTCTCAAGCGGTAAACTTGGAAGTTAGCAGCAAACCAGAGTTTGCTTTTTGTTGGTCACGGTCTAGCAGGAAGCTGGCTCTTGGAGGCCGCAAGCTGTAAAAGCTGAGAGTTGTCCCACGTGTCCAAACAATTCCCTGCCCTGAGGCTTGTACAAAAACTGTCGCAAGCAAATCCCAGCTCTTACACGAGTAAGAAGGTGAGATAGGGTTTAGGAAGCAGGAACCAGATCGCTCAAGTCTTCCAGAATTTCTCATGAACATTAAAGGCCCTGGGCGGAAAGGTTAACGGCAAGCTGAAGGATTTTTCCCACCTTTTTTCATTGGTTTCATTGTTAATAGGTGACTTGGTCTCAGCTGGACTTGGTCCCCAGCCAGCATAGCAAAGCCTGTCCTGATCGCTGCTGCCTCTCTCAGCCCGCTGTCTCTGGGGTGACTGGAGCTTGGTTTGGGGAGGGTCCTTTCCAGGGCTGTGGCAGGGAGGGGAAATAAATCCTGGTTTCCAGCTGCCGCTGCTCCTCAGCAGTGAGTGGAAGCAGCATGAAGCTCTTCTGACCTGTTGTTCTTTCCTTTCTTTGGTTGCACCTCCACACGTCTGAGTTCCTCTTGCTCACTTGGTTTATGAGGCAGTCAGAGAGCTCCTCTCTGCAAACCTGCTTTCCAGTAGGCACTTTAGCACAAATACCTATTTCCCCCCAACCGGAATGAATGATCCAAGGGAATGTTTACTGTGCCGCGCAATCTGGGAATTCTGTCACTCCGTGCCCTTCGGGGAGGGAGAAGAGAGGGCAAGATGCAAGAGGGTTAAATGTGGGCTGTTACAGAGCTGGTGACAGACTGAGTTTAAAAGGTCCAGGCCCTTTGCGCAGAAGCTCTGCCCGTCCTCCCTCCCTGTCTTCAGACGGATCTCTCGGGGTCAGCCTGGGTTTACATTTCCAGCTGAGCTGAGCTGCAAGGTCCCACAGGCCGTGGGTGTTTGCTGGGTGTGCAGGGATCGTCCCGGAAAGGAGTTCCTCTTCCTTTCCGCTTCAGTGTATTGCTCTTGTGGAGCGTAGCTTCTCCAGTGAAACAGGGGTCAGTGGATGTATTTGGCCAGACTTAGAATTTAATACAGCTTTGAGGTGGGAAGCAAATGCCTTCTCCAGTGGCAGGGCTGCTTTGGGCGGGGACATCCTACTGCTGTCAGTGGTGGAGGACGTTGTTTTGTCTGTCCTAAAGCCTTGGTTAGCGTGAGTGGAAATGCATCGTTATCACTATCAAACTCCTTCCCCCAACCTCCCCCCAACAGGCGACGCCTGCAGCTGAACTCCAACCAGGCGTTCTTCCTCCTGGTGAACGGACACAGCATGGTGAGCGTTTCCACGCCCATATCCGAGGTGTACGAGAGCGAGAAGGACGAGGATGGGTTCCTGTACATGGTGTACGCCTCCCAGGAGACTTTCGGAGTGCAATCTTTTGTCTAAGACACGCGAGCGGCTTCTAGCCTAGGATTTTGGTTTACCCTTGGCCATCACCCCCGCTCTTTCCCACACACACCCCAGGGAAAGAAACGGATGTCACCTGTGCTCTCAGTACCGTAGCATAGTCTTGCTTTAGCAGGTGTCTCATCTTACCTTGCCTTGTTTGTGACTATTAAACAGTACAGACGAGCACCTCCAGCTTTGAAACCTGCTGTAATATTCCACACAGGCACATTTACATTTCTGGACTTTATGAATGGAACCCAGTTGTGCATGTGACAATTGCAAATAAAGGGACACTCGATCGACTTTTAACAAGCGAACAGGCGCCAGGGAGGAGCTAAAGTGTTTCGTGTGACAGTTTCCTGGAAAATCTCCCTATGATTCCTTAAAGCTTTTATTTTTTTTTTTTTTTTTTTTAAATGGGAAGGCTTCTCATGAGAGCAAATATGTTTTAAAGTTCCAAAGTGGAGCTTTGTCTTCTGCAGCTCAGTGAGACTCATGTCAGTGCTGCAGTGAGTTAAGGCAAGTGCTTGGGGTGAGCTGGGGGTGCACAACTCTTTTTGTCTCTGTTTTTTTTGTGGCTCCGCAAACTTAGGACCGGTGCCAGTTTCTGAAATACTCATACCAAACACCACAGCTTTATCATAGTTTTAAGAAGTGTTTAACTGTAAAATACACACCTGGACAGGTAATGTTGAAATAAACTCCAGTCCGTTATGAATTTCCAATGCCTGAGTGTGCAGTGAAACACTTGGTATAAAAGCTCGCTTCCAAAAGCTCACCCCCCCCAGCCCGGAGGTTTGCGGTGTCCTTGCCCGGCGGCGAGGGGCTGCCCGATGGTGGTGTAACCGCAGACACGAGCGGCACCCGCATCGCTCGTGGCCTTGGGAGCGCTGCCCATCCTCGCCGTCCCCATCTGCTTGGCAGGGCGGGCGCGTCGAAGCCCTCCGACGTGAGCGGGCGAGCGGCTTTGTTGTGCCCAGCTCTGTGCCGAACGCTGGGACTTGGACACGCCACCGGAATTACCAACCCACCCTGCCTAACCAGTCTGGCACTTGTATTTGTTGCATGTTACCACCGAGGGGGAAGTCAGGGAGAAGCGCTTTTAGAAGCAGCTCGCGGCCAGGAGTTGCTGTCAAGAGTTGACGAACAAATGATTTATTATTTTTTTTTTTCCATCACTGAAGTCTGCCACTCGCGTGGGGTTTGGAAGACCTTGGTGTTACTACTGTCCTGTGCAGAGGAAAGGCAGCTCTTAGGGTATCTCTGTGTTTTTCCTCTAGAGTCATTAAGTGGAACGTAGCAGGATGAGATTACTCGTGTATATTATGTGTCTGTGAACTAACTACATCTGTTACTGGAAGCTAATTTACTCTTAACGGGGGGAAAAAGAAGCAATACTACTGCGTCTTGGCACTCTAGCTCAATAAGGTGTAAAATTTGTACCTACCTACACCTCTTTGCATGCATCTCGTTCACAACGCTTACTTCAGATTTTTTTATTGGTCTTTGTGTTTTTACTCCAACGTAAACTTTTAAATGCAGCTTGTTCTATGTTTAGTTTTGTTCGTGTAAGAAATTGTTTAACTCATAACTGACAACCATACTTGTAATTACGACGTGATTGGCTGATATTCCTGTACAAATGTTGCTTTTTTAAAATTAATACAGTGCTGATATGGATGGATTACATCCCGACTTAATGATGGCTTGTGTGGTTATTTCTAGACAGCTTTCTGAACTCGAGTCTCTGCAGGGAAGGGCGCAGAGAGGTCTGCTTCACCTGCTTCAGGATGCACGAGGTGGTGAACTAGACAAATACTGAAACCTCTGATGTCATTAACAGCTCGAGAGGGAGCTGCTGCCCTCCGGGAGGAGGAATTTCAGCTGTGAGCGCTCTGTAAAACCCTTCTGCCCTCTGCGTGGGCACGGAGGGATGCGTTTCCATATCCCTGTTTTGTTTGTGCCCCTGCTCCACCAGCCTCTCCCTCCCAACGCTCTCGACTCTGCTGTCAGGAAGGACCCCAGGCAGCGGCCGCAGAAGGTTCAGGGACGCAGCGTGCTGGCGATCCCTTTCGCTCACCCCGACCTGTGGCTGCATCGGAGCAGAGCCGGGGAGGGTTCGGGTGCTGCTTCCCTGCTCATCCTCCCCTGGTTTCCCCTTCCTTTCCGGCGAGCTGCGGGGCTCAGGTGGGCAGCTGGCGTCAGGCCGCGGCCGCGCTCGGTAACAAACCACGAGCCCAAACCCGTTCGGAGCAGTTGGGCTTCCTTGGGCTCGGCCGGGAGCTGAGTCGAGGAGAGCAATTGCAAGCGCTGTGCTAGATCGGCGATTCGCGAGCAGATGGCTGTGGGTGGACAGACAGCAAAAGTAATAAAGGGAATTAAAAAACCCACAACAAACCAAGTCCCTGGTAACTGCCAAGCTGAAGAAGCCCCCACACAGATGAAGCCCCTTTAAATTAAACACCCCCCCCAAACCAAAAAAACAAAGGGATTCTGTTTAACTCTTTATTTTCCATACATTAAATTTACTCAGATAAAAACATTCTAAAAATGTACAATTTTACTTTTAACAAAGTATAATAAAACATAAAAATCCCAATACCAGAATACTTGACATTTACAATTCAAAATCAAATTAGCTGAATATTAAATATTTACAAAACTATTTAAAATATTTATAAAGTTACATGCACAATTCGTAATACTAGAATTGACCGAAGTAAAAGAAATGGCTCAAATGGGAGCAGGAGTTTCCTTCATTCCTAGTGGAAAGTTATGTCCAAGAGAAGCTGTTAATCTGCACTTGAAAACACACAGGATTTGCTTTCTGCTTCGGTACCGACACGTTTCTTGCTTACGTAAGAATAAAATGACGAGAGCGAATGGGTTGTTCCAAGGGTTTATTACACGAGGTGGTGCCGGGCAGAGTTACCGGGGCCTCAACCAGCAAAAGTGGGTTCTAGATTCTGGCAAATTCTCGTGGATTTTTGTCCGGATTTGCCCACATCCAGCTCGTTTGACTCCCCCGAATCCACGGCTCCGAGTGTCCCTGACCTCCGAGAAACAAACAGCCGGCTAACCCCTGTGTGGGGGTTTCGGATGATGGCATTTTTTATTTTGGGGAGGAGTGTTGCACTCTGAATACCACAGGCTACATCTCGTTTTTTAATACCTTCACCCTGAAGCTCGTCTGCGAGAAATAGCGTGAAAGGGAATTTGGGGTAACGGTAAAGGTCTACTGTTAGATCATTAATTTTCGGAAGTCTGGTGCTTAATTTGCCGAGATTTAAGGACTGTGGTATGAGAAAGTTTCACAAAAAGCGGAGTGTGACGTGTTTTTAAGGAAAAGCATTGTGGAACACTCTGATCGACACCTCACTTGCTAAAATGAAGCTTCCCTCTTGGCTCTCCTGCTGGTTAGCATCGAGCCTGGCAGATTTATTAATGCTTAATTTGCAGACTGCCAGCGCGAGGAGGAGTTTGCTGGAAATTCCATCCTATTTTGAGTATTTCCATCACCAACGCTCCCAAAATGGAAAACTCTTTGGAAACTGCACCGCACGTCGCCTGCTCCCCCCAGGGAAGACTCATTGCTGACTTCTCCGTGCCCCTGCAGGGAGCTGACTCGGGATTCCCTTCTCTCTTACGCTTAAAAATCATTTCTATTCCACGGTGAAATCCATTTGGAGAACTAATTCTTTTTATACTTTTAGGACAAAGATAAGAATAAATAGCCTTCTTTGAAATCTCCATCTTTCAACGTATAAAAATAGGTTTTCAGAACTGGTTCTTTCAAGCCAGTGAAGCTGGAACTACTATTCTAAAACAAGCTGCCTTACTTTTTTTGGGGGGGAAAGATGGATTTGTGCCTTTTAAAAATGGATTAAAGATTATTTTCTGGAACTAAAGTGCTCTGTTCAGACTTACCAACTTTGGTTGTTCCCGGTACAAAGCGGACAGCGGTCACTAGCAGATCTGAAGCCACAGCTCGCTCTGATTCAGGGAGGGCTCTGCCATCGCTGTTGGCTCATCAAACGTTTCTCTGTTACACTCGAGTTGCTTTAAGGTATTGAGACTTCTGAATTTAAACTGAATCTAAAACCAGACTTCACCATTTCAAAACGTTACCTCGAAGTACACATAAGCCACTTGAAGAAACATCAGCCTTAACTTTACACAAAGGAAACAATCCCAAAGAAAGCTCTGAAGAAAGGAATGAAACAGTTTGCTGGACAGAAGTTCAGTTTTACAGTCCTTTTGTTACGGTTTCGACTCTGATGAATATTAGACGAGACTGTGTGCCCAACATTGGGCATTAAACCAAAATGCAACTGATAAATTTTTTTTTTTTTGCTGTTGATTTTTGCTATTTTGAGAGGGTTTTTAACACTTGCATGTGTGTTGAAATACAGTTTATTTAAATACAATTCAGTTTTAAAATACTGTTTTAAAAAAGTGAAAAATAAAAATAAAATAAATGTTAAGGTTTGGCTTTCAGCACATGTTCCAGGCCACTGGAGAGACCCTCAAAGCTGTAAATAGTAAACATCGTCACTGAAAAACTGCAGGTTTCCTTCAGCGTAATACAGCGTGACAGATTGTTCCTACCATTGTCTCAAGCTCATTAAGGCAAAGTAAATTGCATTGTCAGTTCTCATCGCTTTAGTGTTGTAGGTCTGAAGGTTGTTCGTTAGAACACAGGGAACCGCCTCGAACGCAGGCAGAGCGAGCAGACGCGTTGCAAGTGTGCGCAATGCCGCGGGTAGTGTGAGCTGGGCTGAGAATACGCAAATCTGGGTGGGTTTCGTTTGGTGGTTTTTGTTTTTTTTCACATTGCATAGGAATAAAAATTAGCTTTCTTTTAAACCAAACGTTATATGCAAATTTAGATTTGGGTTTCCATAAAGCCAAATCCGCTACGAGCTGCAGATCGCTACCTGGACCGAGTTTGGTTTCTGGCCATCTCGCGCTACCGTGCCTCTGCGGTGATGCTCGTTTATCCTGCTCGCCTCCCCGGCGAGGCTGCCGCCCGCCCGCTGAGACGGCAGGACCGAAGGATGGCCCACAACGTTTCTTTCCTATCGACACGGTCCAGGAAGGTCTCGACTGTCAAGCTACTGCGTTACCCCCTCACACCGACGTCTCCTCCTCGCTAAGGCCCCGTGTCCTCAGGGCGGCTCCGCACCGCTTCGCAAACCTCCTTCTCGGAGAGGACTTCCCTCGCTTCCAAGTGAAAGCCAGCTGCGCCGCTACAAATACTATTCATCCTGGTGTGGTTTAAATTGGTGTAAGAAATACCTCCAAGTGTAAACAAGGCTTCAGACTTTAAAGGTGTCTTCTAAATTACAGTATGCAAATACCTTTATGTCAGACATTTTCAAGAGAAGGCCTCACCCATTTAATGCTGTCAAATTCCTCGGGTGAGCCACGAGGATTAGTATCTTCTTTCAACCAGACAGGACCAAACTGTTTCAAATTAGCAGTTCAAGATTTGTTTGGCTTCCTCTCAAGTCCTAATTTAGATTTGTCACCCACAAATTATGTACGCTAAGTAGTTAACACCAAAGCTAGTCATCTACAATCTATTGCAACGAAGGAGGCTGACAATAAATCCTTCAAAGTCTTGATAATAATGAAGTTTACTACCTTTTACATGTTTGACTTCTACCACTTCTGAATCCTGTAGCAAAAGCCTCAGGGTAGGAGTCAAAGGGTTGGGGTTTTTTTTTATATAAAGTAAAGCAAAAGCTTACAAACTCTGCTGCCAGAGT